ATGCCATTTCTGGGCTCTAGGAACACAGTGATTTTTATCTCGTACTCACTGGTCTGCCGCCAATACTTAAAACAATGCTTGGGATGGCTTGGTCATGTTTAAGGCAGGGTGCACAAATGAGAAGACACAAGAGTATTGTCCAAATGGTATTAACATGAACTTGTGCTGCTTGGCAGATTTTTGTTGGCTGAATAAAGACAGTGAGGCTTAGAAGGGAAAGTCTTTGTGTGGCAGAGGCAGGACTTGGTTTAGACTTGGAGCGTAGGGCTCTTGAGCAAAGTCACAGAGATTGCTGTGTGAACAGAACGTGTTTATGGGAAATGGTGGAAATTGGTCTGGCTAGAGTGGAAGTTTTATAGTTGGAATAGTAAGGACAACACTGGGTTATACTAACAGAGTTGGTATAGCATCTGAGTAAGAGCCTGCAGAGCTGTGCCGTTGAAAGGATGTTTGGCAGCTATGGTGCAAGATGGATTGCAGTGGTGAGAGCTGAGCTGAGCAGCTCCGAGGTGCTTTGCAAATCCAGGAGTAGCATAATGAGAGCGAGTTCCAGCAAGGACAGTAGAATGGAAGGGACAAGAGAGAAGATGTGAAAGAAGAACCAACAGGGCATCGTTCACAAAAGAAAGGAGCGTGGGGAAATGAAAATTGAACTCCAGGATTCAGTAAAGGCAGGGTCAGAGGTCTACTCTCTGCCCTGGGGTCTTGCTGATGGAGTCTAGAACAAAATCTATGCACATGGACCACCATAAATGATGTATGCAAACCATGCATCTTTCCTTGGCCATGAAGAGTTCCCCTAATTTCTAACTGCAAATTAATGAGAACATGAAACATTCACAGGTGACAAGAGACCAAGTCATTGATGTAGGTTTTCTGTCACAGGTACAAGTGCTTGGCCGTTAGCTGAAGGTGAGCTGTGTGACACCAGCCGCTGCACCGCAGGAGCAACTAGTGACAGTCAGCTTCCAGGAAGAGTCACTGGTTCTTGTTGTTAGTGCTTGCTGCTGATTTTAATTTCTTTCTGTGTGTGAGATTCAGCACAGGTGAATCTATAGCGACAGTAACTGGATTGATAGTTTCTTAGGGGTATGGCAAGGAGGTTCGGGGAAATGGGGAGCTAATAACAATGAGCACAAGCATGAAGAAAATGTTCTAAACTGATTGTAGTGATGATTGTACAACTCTTCTTGATGTGATTGAATTATATGTGAAGTATATGCCAATAAAACTTTTGAGCAAAAAAACAAACAAAAACAAAAGCCTTGGAAACTACAGGGCAGTTCTCCTCTTTCCTGTCAGTTTGCTGTGAGACAGATAGATTCAGCTCTCTGGCAATGGGTTTGGTTTTAGTCACTGATCATGGGAGAGCCATTGGTGGTGGTTAGGAACGTGGGCTTTGGAGGTTTGGAGAAATGGGTCTGGGTACTGGTTTTGCATTGGGAAATTTCTTAAATGGGCTAAGCCTTAATTACCTTACCTATAAGATAGGTACATTAACAGCATGCCTTCCAATTCTGTCATGCAATTTAGGTGCAAAGCAAACTATTTTGCACATTAAGAGCACTCAATACACATTGCAGATGATGTTTCTTTGAAAGGAGGAGGATCTGCATAGTGTGTGTGTAGTGTGTGTGAAGACTTGATTGTTCTGCATTAAAGGACATCCGGACAGCACAGCAGGTAGGTTGGTGCATTGTTAATGGGCAATCCAATGCCCTTAGTGGAGCTCAGAGGCAGTGCCATGCTGTGCTCTGCAAAGTGGGAGCCAGACTTAGGGCTGTTGAGCTTGCAGAGGAAGCTCGCTGAGGAGTAACATGGAGAGAAGAACAAAGCTGTTCTCGACCACGGGGCTTTTGCCATCCACTAAGGAAACAAGCACCTAGGAATGGGCTTCGCTGTCAGCTCCAAGCACCGAGGAATGGACTTCGTTGCAGGTCCCATGAATGCATAGACAGTCTTCCTGGCCCACTATTTGTTTGTTTATTATTTATAATGAACCCAATATGATAGTATTTTCAAAGTTGTCTTCATTGTAGAAATGGTATTTCTACCCTGTGAAGAAATAGTTCAGTTTTCTTGCTTCTGGTGCTTGGTTTCTTTTCTTTT